AGATGCTGAGTTTTAAAAGGAGCAACTGTGCAATGGCTTGACTGGGAAAACAGTTACTGCCAGACATGAAGACCCTGAGTTAATAATCCTAGCACCAAGTATCCAGACCCAGCTGCTTCTGAGGGCCATGTCTGGGTCCATGGTCCTGCTGGGGCTGGGGTCTGTGTTGAAGTCCAAGGCCACTGTTCCTACAAATGTCCCACTGAAGTCTGGGGTTGGGCCTCAGTCTGAAGCCTTGGTGGAGTCTGAGGACCATGCCGCTGCCAGAGCCATGCTGATCTGTTTGGTCAGCCCTTCCACCCAAAGCCAGGATGTCATCTGGGCCCGAGATGGTGCTGAGGGCCATGTCTGGATCCATAGTCCAGCTGCAGTTGCACCTGTGTTGATATCTGTGGCCCGTGTCACCTCAGGGGATCATAGGAACCATACATGATGAAATCAGAGAGCCATGATGAGCCGGCTCTGCCCTTCACTGGCACTGAGAAAGATGGCCCTGCCCCTTGCTAGACATTGTAGCAAGAGAACTGACCCCAAACCACTCAGAAGAGATGGCCCCACCCCTCACCACAGGCCTCCAAGACTGACCCAGAGGGCATGGACATAGGGGAGCAGGATCCAGCCCCACAGCCAGGCCTTGGGTTGGCCCATCCTACAGCTGCCCCATGCAGGACCTGCTGGAGCTTGTGAAGTGACTCGTCCTGTGGAATCTCTACGACTCTGGGTGGCAGCAGGGTGTCCCAGAGTTCTGGTGAGGATCCAGTGACGATGGTGTGCCAGAAACCAGAGGCCTTGAACCGGACCAATGGCCCGTTGCAATGAACATTTGCTAGGAACCTTGATTGGACAAAAGGGTAGATTATGTGACACACTGAGGCTCCCAGTGCCACCAGGATGAATGAAGAGGTTTTGGAGAGGCAGGACAGATGAAGGAGCAAAGAGGTTTTTGGGGGTTTTGTTTTGTTCTCGTTTGTTTGTTTGCTTGCTTGTATGCTTTGTTTTGTATTGGTTTTTTAAAAGTTTTCTTTTTGGGGGGGAGCTGCAGGAGTGAGGGGAGGATATGGGGAGCCTGGGAGGTGAGCATAATTAGGGTTCATGATGTGAAATTCCCAAAGCGTCAGTAAAGAAATGATGTTAAAATAAAGAAAGGAAAACCAATCCTAGCACTAAAAAAGCTGAGAGGGTGCTTGCTTGTAATCCCAGCTTTCAGGAGGTGGAGACAGGTAGGTCTCTAAGGCCCACTGAGCATCCAGCCACCTAGCCGGATCCTAGAGAGAGACCCTCTCTGTAAACACAAGGCAGAAGTCTCCTAAGGAAGACACTTATGGTTGACCTGTAGATACACACATACACACGCACACCCCTACCCACAAGCACGTAAACAAAGAACGTAAACAAGAACAAAATAACTCAAACAAAAAGACCAAAGCAAGGAGGAGATAACTTCAGTCTGTCTTGTTGACCAGCCTCTCCCAGAGATTATTTGCCTCGGGTCCAGAGGAAAGAAAACGGACAATTCATGATACAAGTTATACAGTAAAACAGAACACACAGAGGCTTTTTTTTCTTGGCAGTTTGGTTAGCACCAGCAATTTCTTACTTTCCAGACTAAACAGTTCTAATTGGTAAATGGATGGTTTGATTTGAAATGGTGGCTCAGGAGAAAAAAATTCCCAATTTGGGGTAATTGTTTATGAGTCGTTGGCAGATTACTGTTAACCAGCCTTCATGGTTGTCTTTGAGGGACAAAATGAAAGCTAGTGTGCATATTTCACACTTCATTGAAGGAAAATACTTATCTGGACAAAGAGGAGCTACGGGGTGGGGAAAGATTCTCTCTGCTTATGTGTTACAACCAACTAGACTCAACGTTTTCTTTTTTCTGGTGGGCAAGGGAAACACTAACCACAAAGTATGTGTCTTCAGCTGTAAAATGCGGACAGTCAGAGCCCCCTGCTTCCCGGGCAAGTTACTGTGAAGATAACATTGGCACACAGGCCTCAGTGCGGTGTGTAGCCTCGGGTAGCAGAGAGGAGTGGTTACTGTCCTTCTCAGCGTGAATTATCATTCCATTCTACGTAGAAGAGCTTCTTAGCTCTTCTATATGAGAGTCAGCTGCACGGCCCACAACTTCTTAATGTGGGCCTGTGAGAAGTATCGTTCATTTGCACTGATTCATAAGTTGTAGTTCGGCTACCTAATTAGGCTTCAAATATTGGAATTATTTAGTGACTACCCTTTTAAAAGATTTCACAGCCTGTCTTGATAGCTTACACTGTGTTTAATTATCCTGCAAACTCATGATGTTTTTCTTGAGCTTTAAATAGTTCCCCTCGATTTCTCTTTTGTGGAGTCAGAGATGGGGAACTTGGTTAGAATAGAAGGCACTTAAAGCGTTTGTCCTTGTGGGGGTCTTGATCTTGAAGAATTTAAAATTCCTCATTCCATCTGTCCTTCTGAATCTGATGACTCTACTTTCATATCTTAGTTTTTAGGTTTTTCTGCTATGCTTACTATTGTTGTTATTTATTTATTTAAAGTAACATTATCAAGTGTGATATCTCAAGACAGCAATTTCTGCTCTTTAGGAGGCTAAGGCAGTAAGGTTGCAAGTTCAAGGCCTGCGTGAGCTTCAGGATTAGATCGAGATCAGTCTAGGCAATTTATCAAGAGCCTTTAACAAAAATTTTTAAAAGTTGAAACCGTGCTGGGAATGTAGTTTAGGGGCAGAGCTTTTACCCAGCATGCATGAGACCCCTGCTACAGCCCCTAGAATCATAAAACAAACTAAATAACAGCAACAAAATTGCATGATCTTTTCAAATCATCAAGTTATTAGTTAGGACATTAGGTCCCCATATGACAACTTATTGTGGTGTGAAAAGTTAGTATAACTTCTCAAGATACCAGCTCTCACCCAGAAAGCAACTGCTTCGGTCAGGCAATCGGGCCCACTGTTGCTAGTTTTTCTGTAGGCAGGACATTGCTCAGTTTCCTTGTAATATGTAAATAGGCCAGCTCTTTCTAGTTCTCTGTCCATTTCTATGACATGTTGATGACACAGTGTGCCAAGGAAGCCTTTTGAATTGAGCTCTAGCAAGTGAAGGAGTACATATGACTTCCTGTTATGTATCATTGTAGCTCCGAAACACTCACACCTGGTGTAGTCTCTGTACATAGTGGGAGGTTGATAAATGCTTACTCATGGCTTTGCTTGAATACCTAATTGGAGCCTCAATCTAAAGATATCCAAGCTGAACTCAGTGGTAGGCTGTCCGGTTCCCCTAGGGCCAAATCCCAAGTCTTTCTCCTTGATTATTCCTACATAATGTGACCAAGACATGCTGGTCCCATCTGCTAAAACATTTCCAGAGTCACTCATGTCCCTGGTAACCGATGCTGCTTTCTAGTTCACTCCTGGTGGTCTGTCTGCCCTCTTCTTGACAGATGTGGGTAGAGTCAGTCTTTCTGTACACTGTAGTAGTGTATAAAGTGAGGACAGGACCTCTCTGAGGTATGGTTGAGGGGAAGGTTTTTATTGTAGATTTGAATGAGAACACAACAACCAGAGACATCTGGAGGAGTTCGGAGCAGGGAGAGAAAGTAGTAGACTAAACATGGCCAACAGGCTGGACCACGCCATAAGAGAGGGGTGGAAGTGAGAGAGGAAGGTAAGAGAGTGTATGTAGACAAAGGAGACCAAGAGAGAGGGAGAGAGAGAGAGAGAGAGAGAGAGAGAGAGAGAGAGAGAGAGAGAGTCTAAAAGCAGGACCAAGAATGCACATGGTCAAAATGACAGGGTTATATGGAAGAGAAGTTGGGGGGTGCGGGAAAGCCCATGAGCTAGGGACGTTTAGGGTAGGGGTAGGATGGGAAGAGCCAGGAAGCCGGCATGGACTCTGTAACAGGTATTTGTGATGCTGAGAGGACCTGGAGGTCAGCTTGCATTTTGGGATGTCAATAGGTACCACAGTTAGACATTTGTCCAGACTTTCTTTGGGGCATGACAAGTAGCTCTTTGTTGTGCTTGGACAAAGCCCCAGACTTTATAGTAGTTTACAAACCCACTGTGATATGTCCACTGCCTCTCTCTCTCCCTCTCTCCCTCTTTCTCTCTCCTTCTCTCTCCCCTCTCTCTCTATCTCTCCCCCGCTCCCCAGCTGTTGTCTTTCTCCTACAAGAATTAGTTGAGCTCCCTAAATGCACCCAGCTCTCCCTCACCTCTTTACCCCCTTCTTGGAACTTCTGTCTCTTCCTGCCTCCTGCCAGTGTCCCTGTTTACCAGGTTTCCAAATACATCACTGCCATAGACTTGAGCTTCATTTTCTTCAATGCCATGTCTAAACAGATTTACACGTTTTCCAGGAATCTGAGTTTTGAGAAACCGCTGTAAGAGAGTTGGTTTTGCTTTTATTCAAACGATGGAACAACCAAAGCTGTGTGTGAAGAAACTTGTGTCATGTGACCAGGCATCTCAATGAGCAGGAAAGGGTGCTAGCTTCACAATTTTGGATACCTGCATTTTGTTGTGCCTAGGACCGAGTGGCACTCCTTGCCTGTGGAAGGAGTTGAGTTGCTTTATGAATCTCAGCCTGGGGCTGAGGTGCCTCTCTCCACACTCAAAGGGGTCTCTGTTTCATCATGCATTCTTGGGACGAAGGAGGCCAGATTCCTCTGTAGGCCCTCTTCTTTCAGAAGGAAATATGTCTCGCAAGAGAAGCTGTGTTGCCCTGGTGGGTTTCTTCAGGATCAGAAGAACTTTTGTCACGGTGGTCTTTAATGACAACCTGCATATTTTAGTCACTTACAAAATGGTTGGGACCCTGTACAACATAGGAAATACCTCTCTCTCCCAGCATGAGAAATCTGGTGACCCAGCTATTTCAATAGGTGGCTTGTGTGTGTTTCAGCCCCAGTGACAACTGGCGCCGAGTCCCCTGCTCTACTGGAAACGATTCTGTTTCGTGGTTTTAATGCAACATCATTGTTTTTTCGTCCTGCAGATTGTTCTTCCAAGAAAATGGCCATTTCTTCAAACTCATGCCTGGGTGTCATCTGTTCCTTGTTGTGTTGTTGGATGAGGACAACATCCTCTCTGAACCTGGAAGACCCCAATGTATGCAGCCACTGGGAAAGGTAAGCGTCCTGAAAGCAGCCAGAGCGGTCTATTCCGTTGTCCCCACAGGCCTGACGCGTAGACTGGAATCTGAGAAGACACTTTGAAATGGCTTTCCTGTGAAAAATCAATTTGATAAGTTGAGTCATGTTACTGCCCTTGGAATGCATGTTTTGTGTGTGTGGGGATCTGGCTCTCACACGGGCACAGTGGTAAGATGGAGGGAAATAGTAACTCAGCTAGAGTTTGGGTGGAAGTCTGCGAGCACTTATCCAAACGTGGTGACGTGTGGCGCTGGATCCATGCGTGATGCTGTTGCGTGAACAGTGAGAAGCAGCCTGGTGTCACATGCTATACATATACTTAGAACTGTATAGGACTGAAGCAGTTGTGCCGTGGATAGCTTGGTGTTTGGAGCCAGGTCTGGTCCAGGCCTGGTGTGGCATACTCCTTCCATCCCAGCTCCTCACAAGGCTGAGAAAGGAGGATCACAAGTTCAAGCAAGGTCTGCCATCACTACAGAATCAGTTTCAAGACAGAGTTGGCACTTTAGCAAGAGTTTGTCTCAAAATGGGAATGGAGTTAAAGGCGGGGGCGCAGGGGCAGGACTGCGGCACTCTTGACTTGGGTTAAATCCCAAACATTGAACAAATTGCAGCCTGATTTTTGGATAAACAGGGAAGGCCACATGGAGGTGCAGAGGCAGCATCCCCTGAGGTGCCCTGGAAGATGGGAGTGGATAGCAGTTCAGGATGGGGGGGGGCTTCTACAGATGGAAGACAGATTGAAGTTGGTGTCTTAAAGATCGCATAGAACTGCAATCAGAACAGTCAGTGGGGCACTGGAGAAGGTAACATCAGATTACACAAAGACGGGAGTACCCAGGTGGGAGATTCACAGTAGGAAATATCCAAAATGCACAACATTAGAGGCCACCTTAGGGATCTTCCAGTTCCTGCTGAAGCTGAAAACGCCAAACCTGCCCTATGTGGTACAGTGTCAGCAAGCACAGGCTGCAGAGCTGCCTAGAGGGCCTCAGGAACAAGGGCAGTTGGTACCCCACAAAGTAACAGTTCATCAGAAGGTTTAACCAAGCAGACGGTGTTCAGTACTTATACCATGAGGTGCATTTGGACTGGCTGAAGCACAATCTCACCAGCTCTCAGTGGCGTTTTTGTGCCACCCTCAGCGCCATGATTAACAAAGAGCAGAGTGCTGGGAGCATGCCAGTGACTTCCACCTCGCATCACGTATGTTTTAGAACCAGATCTTGCTGCCACCTCTGTTGGCAGCTCAGAATCTGGGTAACAAAACGCGACTACTTTATCAATTAATGAAGTTACAGAACACGAAACTTTATGCTGTGGAGAAAATAGGTAATATAAGGTTGTATGAATTTATGGTAGTAACAGTGTCATATAGAATGAAAGGAACAGGCACCTACTAATTACCTTTATCATCTTAATAGCATCTTCCCTAGGATATTTCAGTCAGGAAGTATGCAATAAGTAATATTGAAATAGTAGGAATGAGTTTGAAACATGCAGTAGTGTGTGTGTGTGTGTGTGTGTGTGTGTGTGTGTGTGTGTGCATTGTATCAAACTTGGAGTTGGAAGGAACCAGCTGACAGTTAACCATCTTAGTGGTTGGTGGCTTTCGGTGTGAGGCACAGTTATAGGTGTGAGATGCTGAGAGTTGCAGATCAATGGATCTTGAAAATCAATGTCTTGACTGGGATGTGAAGCTGGTCCACCAGAACTTAGAGCCTGCAATGTGTATCATTGCCCATGTGGAAAACAGGAGGAGGGAGTTGAGGGAAATGCTCATAGGTTTGTATGGTCCAACAGGGCTTAGGAAATAAAACAGAAACGTGTGCCTGGGAGTGGCTGAGAATCTAGCATTAGGATGTTCAGCATGATGAGATATGAAGCTACTGAGGAGTTGACCCAAAGGAATGTGGGATCTTCCAACCAGAACCTTTGGGAAGAGCAGGTTTGACTTGATTCCTTACCCTCATTTGAGTAATGCTGTCAACATGCGTTGTCCTGCCTTGTTCACCAGTGATAATTCCCACTGTCTTGGACCTTGGGTGTGGCATGTCCTCAGTAGAAGATTTTTAAAAAGTGGACCCACCTCCTGATAGTGAAGGAGATGGCCAAACATGGATATGAACTTGCACAGTGAGAGAGGCAGGCCACAGGCCACCTAGTAGAATCTAGAGTCAACCCTGAAATAATCACTATGAGGGAAGGAGACAATGGGGGCACTAAAGGACGTGGGCACTAAAGAATGTGGGGGACTAAACTAAAGGACGTGGACACTGAAGAACATGGGAGCACTAAAGGATGTGGGGCACTAAAGGATGTGGAACACTAAAGGACGTGGGACACTAAAGACGTGGGGACACTAAAGGATGTGGGACACTAAAGGACGTGGGACACTAAAGATGCGGGGACACTAAAGGATGTGGGGACACTAAAGGATGTGGGGCACTAAAGGACATGGGTTTTTTACATGCTACTGGAAAGAAGGGACCACAGCCACACCTCCTTGTTGATGCAAGTTTTCTTTTAAGCTGATGATTCCTGCGGAAGGCATTAAAAAAAAAAAGTACATTAATAATAGTAAAAAAGGTTAGATCGATAAAAATGACCAAATGCGGGGCCTTTGGGATGGCTTAGTGGCTAAAGGCAGTTGTGCCAAGCCTGAAGTCCTGGGGTCCATTCCTAGGACCCACATGGTGAAAGGAGAAAATTGGTCCCAGTATCTGTTCTCTCCATATTACACACACACACACACACACACACACACACACACACACACACACCTACACATACACAGTATACACACATGCACGTATACATACATATATATATTCTACATACATACATGCATGCATACATACATGTAAAAATTGCAAAAGTGCAGGTAGCACATATATTTTCATAAACCGTAATAAGGAGGCCAGTCCCAAGGACATATTCTTGGTAGCAGGGTTTGAGAGGAGCTCACGTAGGCTGTTTTGCAGTGATAACCACCTATACTCTGAGGTTTAGAGCCAGGAAATGGAGCCTGCTTTCTCAGTGGGACCTTGTGGAGGATGTGCTCTCAGGCTCCACCAGCCCTGCAGTGTCAAAATCTGCATCCTAACCAGACCCCCTGGTGTGTGTGTAGACCTTCACCTTGGAGAAGCACACACAAACCCTCTACCAGGCCCTGCTAGCTGCATCTCCACTGGTCTTCGAACGTTTACTTCCAGATAGCGCCATGCCTTGTTTTACTGCAGCAGCTCTGGTTTTGGGACACTGCACATAAAACACAAGGAGAGAAAATTAAATCCTGATGAATGTGTACGAGGAGCCTGTGAGTGGAGGAGCCCTGCCCAGCATCCTGTTGGAATGCCAGCAACTCTGAAACCCTCGGCTCCCTCCCATCCCTGTCTTCATGAGTTCCAGCCTTTTCATCTAGGTTCTTATCAAGATGGCATGAAAGAGGAGAAATGGCTCCTTTCCCAAACCCCCAATTAGTAATACAGAAGTGGTAGTAATTGAATCAGCAGTCCTGAAGTGAGCCTAGAGAAGAAATGATGATTATTACCATATCTGATTAAAGTAACAAGATAATTCAGGCAGATAAAATGTAATTAACCACTTTGGAATGTGCCCAAGTGATGATGGCTTGCCCCCTCCTGTTCTGTGACCTTAAATTAATTCCTGCTGGGGTTTCTCCCTTGTGATGCTTAATAGGTTAAAATCATGATGATATGTTTCTCTGTGTTTGTGGAGGTTAAACAAACAAGTCGCAGAAAGCAGAGGGATCGAATTCCTTTAGCAGAGGGGCTAATGCTCACCACTTGGGTTTGAAGCGTGGAGTGTTCTGGAGTGCCGTCTGAGAAGAGACAATGTGAGGGACAGGATTTGTCAAGGCCACGGTCAGTTGTTAGTGCTGACTCCTGAGCATCAGGACTTCCTGTGACAGGAAGTAGACTATAAGGAAATGTACTACACAATATTGCTTTGATCTTCTTCATCTTTCAGGCCTTTTGGGAGCAGCTCCTGGTCAGTGTGGTGGCCTGAACTGCTAGCAGAGGGGACAACATGGTTCAAACAGTAGCCAGACATTGACCATGGCACAGTGATGAGGGTGTTGGGAGAGGTGGGCCATTTTGCAGGCGTCCTCCTTCCTGATGTCAACATGCAGCTTCCAGCCAATGGGCTCTTTGAGAAACGGCCACCTAATTGTTCAATGACAGATACTAAGTGAGTTAGGTGTAGTCACTGACAAAGACTATTTGTAACGATGGGAAAGAGTTTGCAATGTGATCTTAGGTTTCAACAGTGTATACATTTTGTGGTTATAATGTAAGAGAATCCAAAACCCTTAAACTAAAACCCAAAGAGTACAAAGGACAGCAGTGTGCTGTCTGTGGGTGAACAGTTGTTACAGAATGCTCTCATTCTTGTTTGAAAGTTTGTTTTCCAAATTTCACAGTGTCTTTAGAATTCTTTAAAACCAGAAGAGGAAGGAGTAGAGAGCTAGCCCAGGCAGTAGAAGTCTGCACATGCCTGAGCTAGACCTGAGTCTGTCCCAGCTCCTATGTAAAAAGCATAGCATGGTGGCTATGCCTGTGTCTACACACAAACCAAGTTTTCACCTCCAAGGGAATAAGAGTTTATTTTGGAGGTAAATCTGAGTGATTATGGCCCAGGAACACAGATTTAGGTTTCCAAATTTTATTGTTCCAAGATAGAAGCAGTTTCATGAAGCTTTTTATTGTAACAGAACAAAATAAGTAAAAAAATCAGGGCATTTAAAAAATACCTTGGTAGAAATATCAGAGAGGTGGGTTACAGCCAGGTGGGAGAATTTTAACTATAGGCCTCAGATGTTATAGAAAGCATTCTTAGCTCTTCCACCGGGAGAGAGTAGAGTTTTGTTAAGTTACTAAATCCCAAAGGTTATGTGTGTTTTAGCAGGATCTTAGGTCTGGCAGAGGTGGACAATGACTGGCTTTTTATGGGGCTAGTGGTAGCCCAAGAGAAACTGTAATTAGGTTCTGTAACTGCAGCCTTCCAGCTTCTCTACAGTCAGCAAGGTTTTAACGAGTCAATCAGTCCATGTGGACAGCTTCCTTCTGGAAAGGCTTGCTCACACTTGTAAGCCCAGCACTGGTAGAGACAGGAAGATCCCTGGGCTCACTGATAGTCAGCCTAGCCTATTTAGAGTCCTCGAAGCCAACGAGAGACCCTGTCTTAAAAGACAAGGATCCTGAGAAGCAAACCTTTCCATTAACCTCTGTTTCTACGCACCTGTACATCACATGTACTGGAACACAGATGCACATGTGCCCATGCATGCACAAATGGCCACCTTTGCTCTCTAGGATGTACAAAACTGGATTGTGTAGCTTGTCCCTTTGCAATTGTCCAGGAACCCTGTGCCAGGTCAAATTCCAACAAACTAATTTAGTTCAACAAAATCCATATTGTAGAGCCTGTTAAAGTAAGGATCTGCTTTGCTTTGCTTTTTCCTTTTCTTTTCTTTTTTATTCCAAAGCACATGAGGGAAGTGGCTCATTTTTCCTATAGGTGATGCAGGTCCATAGTTATGGTTAGGTCTGTCCCCAGAGGAATGGGACAGAGACATAATAATGTGGCTTCAAGATTTAGTTATCTGCAAGCAACTGGCTAGGAGAGCAGACAGACGAGCAAGGAACTCTCAGCATTTCCACTGGTGTGAACCTCAATGTGCTGCTGGGAGCTGAAAAAATATTAGGAGCTTATGTGACCTGTCATTTTGAGAGCGCTGATATTTTAGCAGAGATCTCTAGCTTCGCATAAAATGAGTCACCTCATGCCCACACGGGCTTGCTTGCACCTCAATCTGTGCTTATGGGAAGGAGCGGGGCCTCTTTGATGGTACAGAAAAGTGATGGTCGTCTACGTGTATGTTAGGGATTCTGGGAAGACATCACCATGCCAGCTCCAATTGTCTGTTTAAAATATGAGAATCAAGGCCCAGGGCAGTGGTAAGACCTGAAGAAGGTCATCTCTGCTTTCTCAGAATTACAACCTTGCCCTCTTCTAACCCAGTGATCTTCTCAGAGGGCTTGCTGTTTCTGCCTAATATTTCTTGAGGATCTTTAAATATCCCTAGATACTACACAGCAGTATGCCAGAAATTAAATATATATCTTATATCTCGCTCATATATATATATATATATATATATGTATATATATATATATCGTGATCATCCTGTGTCTCTCCCCTTGATGTGCATAAACAATGATGTGTATAAAACAATCCGGACAAGTTGCAGACCAACTCTTTGTGGGTCGCCATTGCACAACCTGTCCAACCAGGTCTTCTCTCTGTCTAAGCTGAATTCTTCATGTTAGAACTTCAAGTTAGAAGTTAGAACTTCTTCCTCTTGTCCGTTCTTGTGTTGATCATTCTTGTTAACGAGCTTAGACTATTGATTTCCCTGCAAGTAAGTCAATGATGCTGCCCCATTTTGGTTTTTTTTGTGTAGATTTTAATGGAGACAAAGCAAATGGAGCAAGCCTTTCAAAAAAGAAAATTTTCCTGATTTTCTTGTAGGCATCCATTTTATGATGGAACATGCAAAATGCTCCAAACACATATAGAACTGAACATCCAGTGTTCACTATATTTCATTTTCCCAGGCCACAGGATCTCATGTTTCCACCCTACAAGAAGGCTTTAGTGGAGTGTAAAGGAGGACAGAGCGTTGAGAAGGCAGCAAGCTGCCGGCATGACTGCCTCAAGCTGACTATCTCTGCCTGTTTGTATTTTCAGACCTGGATGTAGAGAACTCATGGTAGCTTTCATTTTTGTGTTCTGTACACTCCTCTGCTGCCTGGGAAGCTGGACCAGCATATGAAAGCCAAGTGCTTCAATTGTTCTGAGCTTTCAAAATAATCAGTGAAATGTAGTCGGTGCTGAATACCGGGATTGTATCTCTGCTTATTAACCTTGAGGTTTGTCTGCCGACTTACGGCGAGGACTTTTCATGAAAGGTCTTTGTTGTGCATGGAATCCTGGGAAGAGAGCAGTGAATTAAGTGCAGAAAGACACAGCGATATGTTTTGAAGTCTGGGAACGTTATCGTAGCATGGACAGGAAAAGGATTTCTGTTGCAAGGTGTAACGTGGGCCCTTGGCTTTTATTTTATTACTTATTTTGTCTTTGTGTTGTGCTGGTTCAATCAAAAATCTACGTAAACATGAATGTCTTCTGCTAAAAGCCAGTGTGAGAGCTGGGCAAGTATGTTCAAAGCATGAGTTTAATCCTTAAAACTGCCAAAGGAGAAAAAAAAATCAGTGTGGGGCTGCAGATAATGATAATTTAACCTTTGTTGTTTTGTTTGTTTGTTTGTATTTTTTTTTAACTTGGGGATCCCATCACTAATGTAGCAGTAGAGGAATGCTGATTCCTGGTTGTTGCTTTTCTTTCCAGCTACTCGGTGACCGTGCAGGAGTCGTACCCGCATCCCTTTGATCAGATTTACTACACGAGCTGCACCGACATCCTGAACTGGTTCAAATGCACGCGGCACAGGTAACGGAAGCCTGGATATGTTTGTGCGCTCGCCTGTGTGCAAATGCAGTCCTGACACAATCAGAGGCCCCAAGTACTTGAGAAAGTGCATCCCCACACCCACCCAGAGAGCAGTCGCTGAGGGCTTAGATCCCAAGTCCAGGGGGCAGCAAAAGGGTGACATGGTCCATGACCTTTGTGAACTTACAGTCTAACTTCAGGCGACACATCTACTGTTCTTCCTGTGGTTAGAAAAACCTCGTCTAGCTCCTGTATAGAAGGTTGACTGGGAGAGACATATTTTTTTTAAAAAAAGTATTTATTCTTTGAGAATTTTATACAGCATGTTTTTATCATATTTTCCCATCCCCTATTTCCCTTCAGATTCCATCTACAAACTTCATATTATTTCTCTCTCATAAAAAATTCAAATAAACAAAGAAGGGAAAAACAAAGATTTCCTAAAAACGCATGGAGTCCAATGAACACACATAAGGCCTGCGCGGGCTCAAGCTGGTAGAAATCCCAGAAAAGGGGAGGGGATGTGACACAGAGTCCCATCCCAAGCAAGAAGCTGTTTGCAGGTCCTGTCTGCTGAGACAGGGGAAATCTGTTGTCTTAAATGGATGACACTGGGTGTGTCAACTATAACTCCAGGGCAGGCCCCATGCTCGGGAGAAGTCTGCCGGCACAGATTGGAGACATTTTCCCCTTGGTCATAACCAGATACTCAGAAACTCAGGCCTCAGTGTCTGTTTCTGGTTGGACATTTGACTCAGTTTATGTTGAAATTTAGTGTTTAAATGAGATAGACTATCTATGATCCATGAGAACACAGAGCCCAAAACATCAGTACTTGTCATGAAGGGAACTCTCTGACTTGACTTCTTAGTTAAGTATTTATAGTATCATAAATTATGGGTTGATTGTGGTACCTCTTATTTTATGATCTAGTTATTTGTTTAATATCTTCCTTTTTCCTTCCTTCCTTCTTTCTTTTTTTCTTTCCTTCCTTCCTTCCTTCCTTCCTTCCTTCCTTCCTTCCTTCCTTCCTTCCTTCCTTTTTTGAGACAGGGTTTCTCTGTGTAGCCCTGACTCTTCTGGAACTCTGTAGACCAGATTGGCCTCAAACTCAGAAATCCACCTGCCTCTGTCTCCTGAGTGCTGGGATTAAAGGCGTGTGCCACCATGTCCAGCTAATATGTGTCTTTATTAATCAGATTTTACATTCTCTATCTTATCTTTCTAGAAGTGTAAGTTCTAATAAGGGAAATAGAAAGTCTTTATACTATTTTGCTTGCTGACATTCATTCATTCCTTGGTTCCTAAAATAGTGCCTGCAATGTGCTAAATGCTAAGGAATGCATGTATTTCTTGAATCAGTGAATGAATGTACTTCAGTTAAATCAGATGATAAAATTAGTCTTCCCTTTTATAGAAGGATGACACTATGTTCGAATTTTAAAAGAAAGTTCGTGAATTCTTCCTTTGAAACATAAGTGACAGGCATCATATATTAAATTAATCAATACTTTGCATCTTATTTTCAGGTAGTTGAAGTAGGGAAATCACAGCACTTCTAATACCTTGCAATAAAGCTCAGATTGGCTGGCGTTGGGAATATTCTTTACCATCTTAATAATGAACTGTAACAATCTTGGTCAAGCCTATATTCTTTTTATATCCTTCTTGTTTTGAGACACTTTGCTGATAGCTACTTTTGTTAAAGCAGAGATCATTCCTTATTAGCTTGACAATCAGAGTTAATTTTGCAATCATTTGCCTTCATACAGAATCAGTTACCGGACGGCCTACCGCCATGGGGAGAAAACTATGTATAGGCGGAAATCGCAGTGCTGCCCCGGATTTTATGAGAACCAGGACATGTGTGTCCGTAAGTAAGGTGTCCATTCTTCATGCTGTTCTTTCATGTCCAGTGCTGCCTCTGGGAGTGACAACTGAGCTGGGGATTTTGGAAATAGGATGTTTGGGACGCTCCCCTTTGTGCCCTGTTTGTTGGGCTCTTGGCTTGTGTCCTGCAAAAAAACATTAACTTGGTCCCCAAGTCTACTGTGGGACAATGGTTTTATCTGGTAAAGATTTGCTTCTTGTACTTGTCTAATAAATGCTGATTGGCCAGTAGCCAGACAGGAAGTATAGGTGGGCCGACCAGGCAGGAAATAGAGACAGGGCAATGAGAATTATGGGAATAGGAAAGTTTCAGTCTGCAGTTGTGACCTAGACGCAGAGAACACAAGATATGACTGCCTTGTCGAAAAACGTACTAAGCCACGTGACTAACACAGACAAGAATTATAGGCTATAGCCTGAGCTACTGGGCTAATCAGTTTATGATTACTGTAGGCTTCTCTATGGTTTCTTTGGGACTTAAGGGTTGGGGGAACTGGGCCGGACAGAAAACTCAGTCAACACAAGCCCTATCAAGACTCTGCAGATGAGTGTTGCCTGAGGAGAAAACAACTGTACGGAAGATGATGTAAGGGCGGATGTGGCCTTGTCAACTGTCGTTTCAGCTGGAAATTGGTTAGGAGTCGCTGGGCTGAGGTCATGAGCAGGAGCATCATTGTCTTGCTGCAGCTAACTTCTGAGGGGCCAGTGTGCTTTTTTTCATGTCACAGAAAGATGAAGAGATGGGTCCAGGGTGCGAAGCACAAGTGCCTGTTTACCAGCATTTTCTTTCCCTGCCGCAGAACCCCCCACTTGACTCTGAGACATCTTGGGAGAAACCTAGAGCTTATAACATTTTCTGAAGACTCTAGATCTTTTGGAATGCTGCTACAGTGGTGCTTTCGTAGTATTATTTTGAAAGAGTCATTTAGAGGAGAGATCATGAAAACCTATCTAATTCAAGTGTTGTGACTCAACACCCAGCTTTACAGCAACCCCATCTCCTGAGCAGAGGCACTGATATTGAGGCGAGCAGAGACAGAGGTCTGCTGTAATCTGGAGGCAGTGGAGATGCCTGATGGGTCTGAAGGGACGGCCCTAGCTCTGCCAACCAACCGCTCAGTTGGGTGGCCTCAGAGTCATCATCTGTACCTCTAGGAGATCCCTTATGCTCCTTCTTGACTCAGAGAGTGGGGTTGAGGAGCTAAATCTTAATGCAGACATTAGTAGCTCCCCAACTTTGGTTCAGAACTGCCACTGTGTCTATTGACAGATGCTCATGGCAAACAAAAATACAATGTGGAATTAACAAAAAAGAAACAGAAGTACACAGTGCATGGCTCGTGCAGGCAGTAAACGTCCTCCGGAACCGGCAGTGCTTTGTTGTGCTATAGATAGCTCTAAATTAAACTCGTGTGACTGTACACATGATCTCTTCGTTGTCTCTATTATGAACTGCTCCGCAAGCTGTCCTTGTGCTTTAAATAATTCACTTCCTAAACCAGGTAAGTCCAAATTCCTAGAAGTAGAATTGCTAAGCCAGAGGTGTACACATCTGGAGGTATAGACACGATCAGGAAGTGAGAATGCCCGTTAGCATACACTCTCTGACAAGTTTTGTTCCTAATTTGCATATCTTTGATGAATGAGGATGGTGGATAAGGAAAATTACATGTTTGTGATCGAATAGAACAATCAGCAACTGATGTCATTGGCCGCAGCTGATGAGAAGCTGTCAGAAGAAAGAGAGACTGGGAATACAGTGGAGGGAGGAGGCCTTACTGACTGGGCTGGTCATCCTCCAAGGACGTGGGTGACATGATTTTGGTGCCCTTAGCTAGGGGTCAGTCTAACAGACACAGTTGTCAACCCACACCGAGAGTATTTCTGTCCCCAGATCGTAGGACTCGAGAATAAAGCCGCAATACTGTTACTCTGCACAGGGCTTGGGGTTGCCCAGGCCTTGTCTCTGCCATGACTCCCCTCCTGGAATGCCTGCATGGAGGAAATGAGATCCAATAGGCCAGTTAGTGTGAGAAGTATGGACCCCAGCAGGATCAGTTAGAGAGTGCAGCTCAGTGTTCTATGACCGCAGCTGCAAATCTACAAGTTTATCTTGCCTGGAATTATGTTGGCAAAATATCAACCCTTTTCTCCCCCTGTGTTCCCCAGGCTATGTGAATAACACCTTTAGCAATTGCTTCTAAAATCCTTTTTCTAGGCCTTCTTAGCTTACCAGCTATCCCTATAGGCAGAAAAAAAAGTTGTTTTTTTTTTCTTTTAGATATGTTAATGTATTTAATCAGCTTACTGTCTACTCTCACCAGCCTGGGAGCTATTTGGCTTTTTTAGGGCAGTTTGCGTTTTTTTTAAGATGTGATATCTTATTTGGTTGCTGAACACCCTGAAAAGAGCTGACTTCTCTCTTGATGGTGATGAAGGCTGTCTCTCTGTAACTCGTCTGCTTTCCATACCCCTGGGCTAGCTAGGTATCACTGTGGAGACAGCAGGGAGACAGAGGATAGAGTGCTTGGGCTACTTTTGTGATCTCTTCCCAACAGGATTTGCTGCCAAGCAGGTAGCATGGTAATCATTTTTAACTGTTCCCAGAAAGGAGAGGAAGTAGGGACCGGTCCTTAGTTCAAGTTGATCATTGACTACCTGCTTTCCTGGAAGGCAGAGAAGAATGCTTTCTTCTACAGTTGCCACCAAATTTCTTTTTTTTTTCGTCTTTTTTTTTTTTTTTTTACTTTGTTACTTAAGCAGTTCCTTCACCCAAGATACCAAAGTTCAGGGTAAGAAAAGCATGCTAAGTATTAATTTATGCCTTTTTTGACACCACATTCACTAGTGAGCCACCAAATTTCTTTGAGATAGCTGAAAAATCCCCTCCAGGAGAAACTGGTTCAGGTATACCAGGATGACCTTGAACTTGTGACGAAGCCTAGGATGACCCTGAACTTCTGATCCTCCTGACTCTGCCTTCTGAATGCTGGGATTACAGGCCTTGTGCTACCATGCCCAGCAGATTTGGTTTATACAGTGTTAGGTATCAAAACCAGTGCTTCACACATGCTACGCTATCACTCTGTCAACTCAACTACATTCGCAGTCCTTAAAGAACATTTGGTATTCTATTTTGCCATGCAAAGGAATTCATTGTTTTTTGTTTGTTGTTTGTTTTCCCCCAAATCATTTCCTCCTCTTCTTCTTCATAAGAAAAAACATGTCAGGTTCGATAAAGAGTGTTCAGTACAATTAAAGTTAACATGTACTGATTGTTTATAATATAAAATCCAAGGGATGGCCTCTGCGATTGCATACCCACCCGAGAGAGCAATGCTCCTCTCAGTTTGCCCTAAGTAATTTTTAATGGCTTCGAAACAACAACAGATGAATAGTTGTCTTGGCCAAGTGTTTACTCTGTGCCAGGCATACAGATCATCATCCTAATCCCCCACACTCACCATGAGCCAGGTATGGTCATATATATTGTAGATGAGGAAACTGAGGTGCTGGTGAGTGGGAAGGAACGGGGCTGTATATATAGTCGGTGTGTGGAATGAGCTACTTTGGCCAAGTGAAAGAAAGCGGCAAAGCAGCTGGTAGTTGGAGAGTCACCTCGTTCCTGTCATTCTGTGTTTCTCAGGACTGGCTCAGTGGCATTACGGTGACACGGCCTCATGGGTATCAAAGGAGCTGATAGACAATTCTTCTTTAGAAAGCAAAGTCACTTTATTCAAATCACAAATTCCTTTCTGGGTTTTTTATGCTCATCTCTTTTAAAGTGACTAAAACGGGCAAACATTTTCTCTTTTGATGTTGTCCTTTGAAAAGGTTTCTGAAAACAACTTTTGTAGATATTGTTTTGATAGATAACAAATATGGCAATTCTGTCTGAATGAGCTGGGCAGCTGCTTGCGGATGCAGAGGTGTAGCTAGGGGGTGGGGTGGGCCTAGCAGTTAGTGAGGGAGCCTTGGCTGGTCCTCCTTCTGTTTAATACTTTGAGGGTTCTGAGGATAAGAATAGAAGTTCAGAAAAACGCAGGAGCTTTTAAATTTCATGTCCAAAGCAGGGTAGGTCTGGAGTTCAGCCTTTGTGGGGATTCTCACAAAAAGTCCCTCAAGATGTTGCCTTCCTTCCATGTTTACTATCAACGGAGGCCACAGAGGATGTTGAAATATACTCTTTATTCTGCCAGCTACAGGGAGAAATCTCTGGAGAACAACACCATGTTTTTCTTGTGTTTGGAGCACAGTGAGGAGACCTTCTCTGCTTGAGACAGGAATGAGTGGGCAGACTCTCTGGGGAGATGGTGAAAGGCAGACCCTAAACCAGCGGGTCTGGGCTGGTCACAGATCTATGTGTTTCTACTGAAGGAAGGTTCATGGCTGTGCAGAAGCCACGGGGCCACAGAACACTCTTTGAGCAACAAGGCTTCTGTAGGAGACCGAAGAGTGTTATTGGGCAGGAAGAGGAAATAGTGTAAAATAGAAGCCCTTTTTTTTTTTTGAGAGTCTGCTTGGGAAAAATAAGAAATAGGAAAAATTTTTCACCAAGAAAATGTCACTAGGACATGAAGATATTTGTGATACTGAGAATTTTACTCTGTTCATAAATAATGATGAATGCTAACCTAATCCATTCCTGAATTGGGTCTACCTGATTTGATATCTAGCTATTTTTGAGATGGAAAAATTTTCATCTTGGTGAAGCAATGCCCAGAGAATGAAAATAGTTGAAATGTGTGTGTATGTGTGTAGAAATGTGTGTGTGTCTGTGTGTTTGTTTATATATGCATGTAAATACATGTTTTTTAAAGACCACATATGCCTATTTGATCTTTTATAAAGAATGCCATTGATTAAATTGTTAGGTTCTTGTACATAACTGCATACTCACTCAAACATATGCCAATACATTTTTATTAACACGCACCAATATTCACGTTGGAATCTCTGTTGTCTTCTGTGGTTCTTTGCTGT